AAAGGGGGGGCCGCCATTCTTCCCCAAAAAAACCCCCAATTCAACCTTGGGGGGGATTTTCACAATTCAAAATCCACCGGGGGTTTAAAAAAGGGAAAAGTACAGGCGGGGTTGGGACCCCGGCAAAAAAAGAAACCCCGGGGAGTGTTTCCCCCAGTTGGGGCCTTTCAAAACGATTCTTGGGGGGGGGGCCCCCCCCTTCTTCCCCCCCCCGGTTGCCCCCAGGGGGTCAATTCCCCCCGGGGGTTAACTTTTTTTGGAGGTTAGTAAAAATTGGGGGGGGGGGGGGGGGGGGGGGGTACTGTACTCATGTTGTGCATGCCATAGCTGGTAGACCTTTGACTGACCACTTCCTCGAGAGGACGGAGGGGAGGGTTACGTTTGATCGCTAAAAAAATGGGAACCGCTTCTTTTGGACGAGACTGTAGGGCGTTAGAGAAAAGGGCGGGTGTAGGTGGCGGCTACATCTGCTGATCGACCTATCTACGAAGGAGCCACCGCCCAACCCACGAGCCTACAGCAGCCTGCAAGATGAAGGGTGTTTGTGTTCGTATCCTGTCGCTCGCCTCCAAAACTCATGTGGGGGAAGTGGTTGTATCATCTCCTCACCAATGAGCCTATCGGAGGAGAGGGGCGGGCGGACGGTGAGCGGGAGGTAGGCATGCGCATCGCTCTCTCCTATACGTTTTGCACTCTCTACGCGATCTTGTTGGCGCTGATTGATGCCCACGCACAACTTTCCAACCGGACAAGGAGAGACACGGCTCTTACTTCCACACGCCCAGTGGACCCCACCACACACACACACACATACCACGGCCAGAAAAAGAACCACGCACTCGAACAAACAAATAAAAAAGACACTCACGTAGCGCTCAGGCACGGCCGCAGGCTGGCCTCGAGGGGCGTGTAGGCCTGCACCGTGGGGTTGACGGCCGCCCTGAAGTTGAACACGCCGCTCAGGTAGCCGTCGTAGTTGCGGTGGAAGTGGTCGAGCATGGCGTCCGAGGAGGCGAAGGTCTCCGCGATCTTGATCACGTGAGGGTGCAGCGCGGAGTGCAACACCTGTGTGCAAGTGTGGGATTAGCAGTAAATAGGGGAGGGGAGGGGAGGGGAGGGGGGGGTGTACTCATAGTCGTGCATGCCGTAGTAGTCGTTAGACCATTGACCTCGCATCTCGACGAAGCCGGGACGGAGAGCACGCCGGGTTCTCACCGGACCAGGCGAGTGAATAGGAGGGGAGGGGGGGAGGGAAAGGGGGAGACAATGGAACAAGCCAATCAGTGCAGCATTGGGCTTCGGTCCTTTCAAGGCGACCGCGGACACTAAGCGGTCTCTCGCGTGTGGTCCTTGGGGGATGGGCCGACAGGGGATGGAAGGCGTGCCTACTTCGAAAAGGCAAAATATACGGGGACGGCCAGAGCGATCACGATGTACTTCGTTCTTGACGCAACAATTTTGTCCCCTCAAAAGCACCGGTCAAGAAGCGCCACCTCTTCCAGATGTACTAGTGTCGGTGAAAATCGCTCGGCACAGATGGAACGATCGACATGCTTTTCGTCCCTTTTCAGTTGTACCGGTGGCTCCGAGCGTTGTCGAACTTTTCTTGCCGGGGCACACACCGGCCCTAAATCGGGCCCACGCCAGCACTATTATTTCGGGACGACCATGAGTGCCCTCAAGAGGAGCAGTCTACGTCTTGACGCTTACCTACAGGAGGGAAAGGGCACGATTCCTGCGCTTTTTCGATCCGAACAAAACGCCGCGTGGTCAGATACCGCCCGTGTTTCAACTTGTACAGTGCAGTCGTTGCACAAAGCGTGCGCACCGCCCAAGCAGTGGCAGCGACGACTCACCTCCACTCTTCTCAGCGGTGTAGTCGGGTCTGCCATGGACTCCTCCATCCTGGCATTGCTCCAGAACACCGTGAAGTTCATCGCGGCTTTTGTGGGGGGTAGGGGGGGGAGGAGCGGTGGGAGAAGGTGGATCTGGGGTCGTTCAAGGTACGCGCCACAGGGACGTTTTGTGCCCAATGAGCGGGGAGTTTGGTCACGAGCAAAAGCGAGAGGCTACAGCGCTAGCAGCAAACAACAACCACAGCAGCAGCACCAGCAGCAGCAACAGCAGCTACATGAGCAGCAGCAACATCAACCACCAACAAAGACAACAGCAGCAGCACCAGCAGCAGCACCAGTAGCATATGTCACGTGACTTCGCCGCAACCAAAATCATGGGATGGCGAGGGGGGAGGTGTGAGCGACAGGTTACTGGAGAGAGTTGGAAAACGCGGCAGAACCGGTTCCCCCCCAAGTGCATAACAGCAAGAGAGGCGACTAGTCCCGAGAAAGGGTACAAGTTAAGCGGGTATCGGTTGCGTCAGAAAGGCGCAAAAGATAGTGAGGGGAAACTACCAAAAAGAAACACTTCAGGCTTTGCACAACGCAGCACGCACAGCACCGCCCTCTGGAAAAATCACAGACAGAAAATATGGCATACTAGTTGACAACTCCCGGAATTTCAAACACACGGGCGGCTCCAACACTCCGGGCCTTCCAAAAAGCACACAAGCCGACCACTCTCACGGCCGCATGCACACTGCGCCTCGATGAAGGAAAAAAAACAACCCCCACCTGCGATCTTGTTGGGGTCCGCCCAGTTCGCCTGGACCGTCCGGAAGACGGTCACCGCCGACTCCGGCAAAGGGTCTTCTCCGTCACCCAGCTCCAGCCACTTGCGCCACGAGTTCACCGACCCGGACTTTTTCCAGGGGCTGACGCCAGTGAGGAAGAGGTGGGTCAGAGAGCACCAAGCGCGGGGGGGGGGGGGCTATGAGGTTCTGTAGTTGTTGCTTCATGGCAATCTTCTCTCCCACCCTTCGCCAAGCACTGCATCATTTGGAGGAGGACCCGCTGCTACAAAGTTTGCCAACTTCGAGGAGAACCGGGTTGTTAGAGCGAGCGAACCGTTAGATCCGGCACAAGCGGGGCTTGGATGGCAGGGATTTCGGAAGCTTTTCGAGGGGACCAGCAGCACGTTGGCTTGTGTTGGTATGCTGCCCTCTAGAGGACATCCCCGTGCGCCTTGCACGGCTAAAACACGCATGCATCCACGACAAGAACACTCAGGGTGGAATTTGAACCAATGGATCACCGTGTCTACCTGTCAGCTCTAGGTGTTCTGCGCGAGAGGGAGCGACAGCAACGAAGGGTACACAACGACCTGGGCCTGCGCAAAAACAACGGATGCGGCGACACCAACACCACCATCAATACCAACACCAACACCACCAACACCACCAACACCACCACAACAACAACAACAACAACAACAACAACAACAACCGCAACAACAGAAAACAATATTGTTTTATGTGTTTTGTGTGTTTTGTGTTTGTCTCTACTTAGAACGCTATTGATGTTTCTTCTTGGTGTTGGGGACGCTGTTGCTATTTCCACAAAAAAAGAGGGCTCACCCCAATTGTTGCCCACCAGTAACGGCATCGTCGGCGTAGCCGAAAACCTCATTGGGCTCTCTAGACACATCGGCCATCATGTCCAGCAATCGCATACCGACCTCCTGGGAACAAAGGGGAAAAACGCGATTCAAGAAAAAAAACGCGAGAGACGTCGTTCCTTGCTACGAGAAAATTTCCCAACAAATTGTCGGTCGAATCGTGTTTTCTCTCCCCATCCCGCTTCTTCGCTGAATAATTTACTCACCCCGTGCAGCACGTCGCGGCGCACGCCAACAGTTCTCGATCTGGCAGCACCCGATTCAGAATACCACAACGAGCATGTGATAGCTTCTTTCTTACATGAAGATTACACCAGCGGGTTGTGACATGTCACCCAAGGTACACGTCTGCCTACGGTACATGTCAGGTCGAGGTCGGCGTGGGTACCTAAGACCCGGCCCTCTTCGCCCCCCCCTACTCGACGTCGACAAGACTGGGACGTGGCAACACAAAACGCAAGGCTCGGACTTGGTGGGGTGAAAACTGTCTTCCGAAGGTAACACGTGTTCAGAGTCGCACCGCAGGTTTCCTGGAAATAGCGGGTAATACATACACTCCACAATGTCCTTGCCACGTAATCCAAGCCCCCCATAGTAGCCTTCGCGACGATATCGACCTTGGCTTTAGTAGGGGGTACGGGGTTGGGTCAGGGTCACGAAACCCCCATCTCTATTTCATGAAAAATTTAGTAGCATCCTTGTCGCGAAGGCGGTTCCCGCATCGCCACAGCAGCCCAACATTTTAGATACTCCGGAGTAAAGGCTAATCAATTGAACTACGAGTCGTCCGACTAGCCCTTACCCAACAAAATATACTATCACGACACAGCTGATTGGGTAGTCTAACGGACGAGCCTTCCTCTAACGAAAAATGTGATCACCACACAGCTGGCGCGGTCGTCTAATGAGTTAGCCTTTACCTAAATTACAAAAAAAAATTGTCACCACACACAGCTCGCTACAAGACTCACCAGAGCTTCGTCTTCCTTCTCAAAGTCGACGGTCACCTCTAAGCGGGTGTCGTTCACAGACCGCCCCACGTTCATTCCCAGGACCTCCGAGTCGAGCGTGCGGTTGCGCGACGGCAGGGGGATAAATTCGTACGCTTGCCACCTCCTGGGTGGTCGGTCCTCTTTTCGTCGCGGTCGTTGGGGGGGGGGGGGGGGGGGGGGCTGTTGAAACGGGTCGCTCATGTGCCGGAGCTGAATTACAACCTCGTGTCCCTCACAGCCCTTTTGAGGCAAACCAAGGGCCGCTTAGCCGCAGACGAGCGTGAGTTGGAGGTGTTCGTTGGTGGGGGGGAGTCGGTGTACTTCCCTCTATGGGGGGACCTGTTCGTTCAGACTGGTCACCGCATAGAGTCGGGTAGGGAACTAGCCTGTGCCATGATTGCTCCTGGTAACGCGAAAGCGAACCGCACCCCCGTTGACA